TTACTATAGCCTTACCATTGTTAAAAAGTGCAAAAAATCCGATAGATTTAAAAAAAAATTTAACCAAAATTGACAGAAAACTTCATAGAATATTTTTTTTTTATGTTCTCTTAATGCCCTTATTTTATGAGAAACATGCAGGAAAAGATACAATTTTGGAAAATCATTTTACATTATTTTTTTAAATGTTTTTTTGTTTTTGACCGGAAATGACACAGAAAAAATATTAAATATAGATTAAATATTAAATGTTTTTGACAAAACATTTAATATTAAAAAATTTGAAAACACTTCCTCTAAATGCCCTAAATTTATGAGAAACATGCCAGAAAGGATACAATTTTTAAAACTAATTTTGTTAAACATTTTTGTCAATCTTTTGTAGTTTTTGACCGGAAATGACAAAACAAAACATTTTGACAGAAAATCTTATATAAAAAAATTTTAAAAAATGTCAATAATTGCACTAATTTTATTATAAACATGCAGGAAAAGAAACAATTTTGAAAAATAATTTTACATTATTTTTGTAATTTTTTTTTGTTTTTGACCGGAAATGACACAAAAAAATCTCATTTTTACAAAAAACTTTATATTAAGAAATTTGTAAAAACTTTCTCTAGAAGTCCCAATTTTATGAGAAACTTGCAAAAAAAGATTGAATTTGGAAAAAGATTTTTACTTGATTTTTGTCTTTTTTGTGACTTGGAGGTCACTTTGTGGTCGCTTGGACGTCGCTTGGAGGTCGCTTGGACGTCGCTTGGAGTTCACTTGGAGGTCAATTGGAGGACAATTGGACATCACTTGGAGGTCGCTTGGACATCACAGTTAAAATAGTAGACCTATAATTTCCTGAACAAATCTCTGAAAAAAAAAAGATTCTCAAAAATGACTAAAAATACACTCATTTGCCTTAAAATACTTAGCTATGTCCATTTTTGTGGTTAAAATTCAGAAAAAATATACTTTTTTGGTACGCCACCTTTTGATCACAGTTAAAATACTAGACCAATAAGATCCTGAACAAATCTCCAAAAAAAAAAGTTTTTCAAAAATGACTAAAAATACACTTATTTGTCTTAAAATACTTAGCTATGTCCATTTTTGTGGTT